TGAGATCATATGAGCGTGTGGGACACGTCGAACATTTTTAGTTGGTTGGAAATTTTGAATTTTGCCCCAGTGGAGGTCGGAGCCTACTCTGATCGACTTTGAACCACCAAAGGATCTTTAACGTGCGTAAGTTAAACATCGGACCTCCGAGATTTTTTGCCCTTGTGTATGGAGGCTCGGTGAAGAGCTTTCATACCATAAGGTAAGGGTTGTGGCTGAAAGACAGCTGTAAGTAGGAACCAAGTAGTAGCAGTAGAAGCTATACGGATTCCAACCCGGAACCTATTGAATGAGAGGCGAACACCTTAACCTTTAGGCCGCGAGAGCCCCTTTGTAATCCACTGACAATCTACAAGGCAGGAGGGTCTTTGGTAGGATTTATGACGACCTCTGTCACCAAGAAAGTCCATTCTTTGAGCATTTGGGGTATTTATTGAGGTGCCTGTGTCACCAGAGTTCTCCTCCAAGCTCTGCGACCATGTCCCATTTGGTTCGCGACTGCTTAGCAGCTAATCTCTATATCTGTAGGTCTCTCCCTTATCCACCACCCAGGGAATCATTGGGTGGAGTATGAGGACCCTATACTAAATCTTTAGTAATTTAGTTTAATACAGTTAACGAAAAAAGAAGCTTTTTTTTGTTAAAACCGAAGAAGAATATAGTGTTATCGTTTGTTTTGGGTTTGTTTGTTTGTTTGTTTGTTGTTTTTATTTGGGGGCTGTTTTGATTTCTTGGTCACTAACCTACAAAAGAGCCTTGTTGTAAAGTTAAGTGCGTGTTAGAAAATAAATAGATAGGCTAGACATTTTTTAACACAGAAAGAGGAAATTCAACAAACTATAATGATTGTCTTCACATTTACATAGGTGCTTAGAGGGCCGCACGAGGGGGTCCTACTATTTTGGGCTGGGTGGTTGGCGGGTGCTCTTGTGTGATTTGCTTCTTTTTTTCCTATCAAACAACTATTGTCTTTAACTCCCCTCCGTCTTCTTTATGTTTGTTACTCTCTTGTAACACCTCTAATCTTCATCTCTTATATTATGACTTTATTGTGCTGTAAGTGCCGTAAAACACTTACTACTTCTTTTTCTTTTTTTGTTTTTTTTTGTTTTTTGTTTTGGTTCAGTCTGTCCTTTTTGTCACTGCATGCATCTGACCCTTTTCGTGCACTATATCTAAGGATTTATTTATTCAAAGTAGTCTTAAGGATACCCGTGCATTGGATAAACCCTCACGAATTTTGTGGAAAACAAAACCTCTTTAAAAGGGGAGGGAAGGGGGGGGGGGTGCTACACCCTGAAAGTCCCAATTCGAGTCAAAATTATGGAATTTGAGATGTAGGCATTTTTTGCTTCTTCAGTCTCTAATATGACTATTTCATCACATTAGAACCCTATGAAGCCTTATTCTTTTCAAATACCAGGCATTTTAGTCACCATCATATATTCATAAAGTATGAAGTCAATCTTTTACTTTTCCTTACCGTCCGTGTTTTTTCAAAACGCGTTTTTCTATATACTTTTTTTGAATAACTCCACCATTTTTAAAACCAATCTTCAGGACAGATTTACATAACTAAAAGAAGATGTAAAACTAAACAGTGGTCTTTAGAAGTTCCAATATATGGAATAGATTTTTGTTGGTGGTGTCTGGAGTGTGGGTTTTAGGTGTTTGTTTGTTTTTTGGTGTTTTTTTTTTTTTAAATTGAATACTTGCTCAGGAAAAAAACTAATAACATTTTAACCAGCTTTTAAAAAAAACTCAGTAAACACTTTTGTAGATCAATTTTCTGCTAACATGCATGCAAAATAACAATCAATTTCCATGAAAAATAAGTCAGGTATTCAGTGTATAAGAATTGTAAAAATCCAATATGGCCGCCGTCTTCATAGTAACGAGATTGCTTTTCTCAAATTTGATTGCAGATTTGAATACTTCTCACTGTGCTTGTTATATGACTGAAATTTGGTAAAAATTTGATCCTCTAATAAGCGAGATTATCTTTGGGTGTAACCCCCCTCCGTTTAAAGCCATTATAAATTTTAAAAGACAAACATGTAAGCAATAACTAATCAAGGCATACCAATTGTTGCTCTTTTGCCTATTTGTCAGAGCTGGATGCTTGGTATTTTCTCTGTGGTATAAAGTTCGGTAATGTTTGGAGTGAAGCTCTGCGTTATAGAGATCCTCATGGTCTTCTTTTTTCTGGTGTCAGGTCTGGAGCAGATATTGACGATCATGGTACCCATCCTTTCCTGTTGTCTGTCTTTTTAATCAGCTCATTTTTTCTCTTTGGTTTATTCGTTGCAAAGCTGTTCAGGCCATCTGTGTATGGTGTTCTTTGTCTTCCTCTGCTCTTCTTTTTCTATATCTTTCAACTCAGCCTCATTTATCTCGTCCTTAGTGGCGTCGGTAGCCTAGTCGTCAGACTACTGGAGTCGTAATGGCCAGATTGCGGGTTCGGGAGTTCGGGGGCTTCAGCTTGGCCCGGCGTAGTGTCCTTGGGAAAGGCACTTTACACGAATTTCCCACTTTGCTCGGTCCTTTCAGAGATGGGCGTTTAACTCACCTTTTAGATAACCGAACAAAGTTGGTAGGTGCGTTAAACCTATACCATTTCGCCATATTTATCTTGTCGATTTTAGTCTATTTACGTGGGTGGTTTGCCTATAATTCTCTCGCGGGCACCAGATAATAATTGTTGGCCAGGCCTCATGCGGCCCATAGACCTTGAGTCTGATATCTCTGTTGTAATCTGACAAAACGCCTTTTTTCATATCCACAGCAGTTTCGAGGAAAAGAGGGGTTTTGTTCTGCGTAGCCATGAAAATTAGTGTTCGTTTGAAATTTGAATTCGAATTTATTTTTAAAAAATTAGTTACAGTTTCGTTTTGATTTTTTTTCGACACAAGTGGGATCACTTATCAGACTTTCCGTTTAGCAAATATAAAATGTTGGCACCAAAACGAAAAAAAAAAAGAAGTGTTTTAGCAGCTTACGGCCGACCACTGATCTAGAAAAACTGGACTCTCCGGTATAAACATTGTAATTGTACGTCATGCTTCACGCCCCTACCAACACGACTTGGATCACTCGGGAGGCGGACAACTGGTCGCTTTTAAGGACAAGCGGGCTACCTCAGATTCCTGGGGTTTCCGGAAATAATCTTGAACTTCACCAAAAGTGGGCCTTGCCCTACCTATAGGAGAAGTTTAATTTCATTGGTGTGTATACTTGTTTGATTACTCTTTGTCTTTTAAAGAAACTGAACAAGGGGCAAAAACTTTATAGAAGATTTTCTCAAAACAGCATTTTTCGGGATAGCCCCCTTGTGCTTAAAAGCGACCAACTTAGACCCTGCCTGTCAGGTCCAATCCGGACTGAGGGGTAATAGTAATTGTATTTATAATGTTGCTCATGTCCGCGCTGTAATGCATGTTCTACATGTTTTAAAATTAATATTACCCTTGCTGAACCTAAATCATTCAGAATTATTTTTTTTTGGAAGGGGGGGGGGGTGCTTCCAATGAAACATACTGTGCAAGCTGCGGGTTTCATGTGCTTAAACTAAAAAAAAAAGTACAAGACGTTTCACTGTCGTCTTTAGAAGGGTACTAATTTACACCCGGGAGGGAAAATTCGTGGAAAGTACCTTTTCCAAGGATGCAACGTCAAGCCCCTGATTGGATTTGAGCCCCCGAAGTTATGGCTAGGGGGAAACTGAGAGTCTAACCACTAGACCACCAACGCTTACATTTTAATCTGAGATACTAGATAGGTCGTCCCCCACCCCATACCACACACAGAAACGAATTGAGCTCATGTCTTCTGAGAAAGGGCCCTGCCGTTTCATCACAAACGCCGCTATACTTGTCTCCTTTTTGCCATTTCAGATCGCTTTTAATTTATATTTTCAAGCATCGGTGTTTCAGTAGCCGTTATGTTTCAAATGGCCTAAAGCATTATTGTCCTTCTCTCCTATTGTTCCGATGTAAAGTCTTGTAAAGGTAAAATTATTCCCATTCCCTGTGGAGCGTGCCGTAGAGCATTCATTTTACAGCAAGGGAAACACATGGAATGCAAAGTTCAGAATGTTTTTATCTTCAATTTTGAACTTATACATCTAGTTGACAGGTGTCTAAATGAAACGTGACAGCTTTCTTTAACGTGCGATAACAGCTGGGATTGTCATATCTTCACATAGTCGACGCATGGACGGGGTGAATCGAGGTATTTTCTATTGAAGGATGTTGTTGTTGTTGTTGTTGTTTTCAAATCAATTTAGCTGTGAGCATTTCGCTCTTGGCAGCACAATGTTTCCCTCAAGTAACCACATGTCCTTGTCATATGGCCAACGCCATAGTAGAGCAGGCTTTGTAAGTCTGTAGGTGTGTGTAGGAGCTTGCGTCGAAGAAATGTCAGGTTTGGGCATTGAAGGAGAAGATGTTCAACGGTCTCCTCGTGGTAGTCACAGTGTCTGCAATGGGGTTCCTACATGGGGTTGGTTCTGTTTATGTGCTAGTTGGTGTGTAAGTGTCCTGTGCGGGCTCTGAAGATCAATGTCTGATCGGCTCTACATACAAGATTCGAGGGGTCTTTGGGGTTGGGTTTGTCCATGTACCCGAAGAGAGATCTTCCTGTTTCTGCGTTGGCCAATCTGCTTAGCCACTCGTCTCTGCTTTTGGCTTGGATAATCCCTTTGCAGGTCTGTTAGAGGCGGCAGTGTCTGTCTGGAGCAGGCTCACTCCAGTCTTTGATAGATGGTCTGCAGTCTCATTCCCTTGTACTCCAGAATGGAAAGGCGCCATCTCCAGTGTGACCCGGACGCCATAGGAAGTGCCCATCTGTTTTACAAGGCTGAGAATGTTCCCGTCACCTCTGTAGTCTCCTCCTCCCTCGACAGCTTGTGTGTGTGTGTGTGTGTGTGTGTGTGTGTGTGTGTGTGTGTGTATGTGTGTGTGTGTGCCAGAACAACGAAAAGAGTAACGAAAAGATTAATA